GAGTTGGATGCAGGTGGACAGATCGGCCTGGGTGGTGGGTGTGGGAATGACCTCTGTCCCAGGGCGTGTGCATGCACACGTGTGACATGGAGAAGCATGCGCTCGGGAGCTCATCACAGACGCCAGCCATCAGCCTCCCGGTGGCTCCCCACTGGCTCCAGGACGAAGCTCCCTCTGCAGCCCCATGGGTCGTGGGAAGTCGTGGGAAGCAGATGGCGCCTGTGACCAGAGTCAGGGCCTCGCCAGCCCGGGAGGGGATACACCCTGTCACAGGCGCCCCGTGACCCCTTGCTTAGGTGGAGCAAGGTCTTGCCTCCCTGCTAACAGGAGACCTGGAACAATGGTTCCATCGGCCTTCCAGCTTAAAGGCCTCTCCTGGCGTTGCCTCTTAGCTGAATGTGTGTGTGGGGGGGCGGGGGGGGGCGCAGGTTGAGGGGAAGGAATGAGAGAGATTCCTGGGAAGCTGATCACATTTGTGAATTGAGGTTACTTCCCCTCCTCTGGGCACATGAGCCCCACGGGCAGGCATGTGAGTCTTAAACCTGCCATGTGACTGGCTCATTCCCAGGTCTGTGGTGTCACAGGGCCGTCAGAGCGACTGCGCGGAGGGTGTGTGTGTGTGTGTGTGTGTGTGTGTGTGTGTGTGTGTGTGTGTGTTCAGGCCCTCGCTGAGGGCAATCGGATGTGCGGATGAAGGCCCTGGGATAGGCCTTTGTGGAGAGCCCGGGGCCCATTTCCGTGACAACGGACAGAGAAAGCCAGGGAATCGCGAGTCAGGGGAACGTAGCCAGATGCCATACAGGGCAGGCTGTCTGCTGTGCAGGAAGAAGAACCCCCCTGGAGAGTGGGGGGATGGGGGGGGAGGTTTGTGCTCCGCCTGTGAGGAGTTTCTGTTGGTTCTGCAGCCAGTTGAGGGCACACCCAGCCTCCTGCGGATGGGCATTTGCATTTCACTGCCCTTTCCCCAGAGGACCCAGGAGCCACCTGGCACCCTGGGCATACAGCATCCTGCTGGCAAAGCAGGAGGGGCTGACGGGGGACAGGGATATGAGCAAGTCACTGCAGAAAGAGGGAGAGGACCCGTGAGTCTCACGACCCAGGTCGGGGTTGGGGGGTGGGGGGGCAGCCGTGGGATTACCCAGTAAACTTGCTTAGGGCTTGGTCTTGAGGGGCTTAAGACACTGATGTTCTCTCTTCTAGGAAAGACGCAGCCCAGCAAACATCAAGCATTCACAGATTCTCACAGCCCAGACCCTGCAGGTCGCTGCCTCTTACAGACGGGCACGCTGAGTCCATTCATTCATTCATTCATTCAGGACATATTTCCTAACGATCTCCCATGTGCTGGTGACTGGGTTCCGCAAAGACAACAGTGTGTGAGTCAGGCAGGATCCCTGCCCACATAGGGCTGGCATTTCAGCAGGGTACTGACAATGACCA